TTTGATTTCCCCCCCTTTTAATATTTATTTTATTTACCCCACTGTCTTATTTACCTTGGTTTTTAAAAAACCCTTTAAAAAATTTCCACCTTGTTCAGAAGAGTCCTTTTTTTTTCTCAGCTTCTTTTTATTCTTTTGTTAACTTGTTTTCATTAGCATCTGTAAGACCATGAGAGGAAGCTGAGACCCCAAATTTGATTAAGTTTCATCCTTTTCTTTTTCATAGGTTTCGTAGGTTTATAACTGAAAACATTCCAATTTTGCAATACATAACCCAGAGGGCTGCCACTGGGAATCAAAAAAGTTTCCCATTATGGTACCGCACACACACACACACGATACACACTCAAACATATCCACATAACTATCAAACAGATGGAGCCAAGAGTTAGTCCTGTCAACAAATCGGGACTTCCCCTGAACAAACTGTTACTGTCCCAGTAACCGGGAACAGAAGCCCTGGGGCAGAGGCAAACAAAGAAAGGGAAAGTAAGACTCAGTCAGTTTTAAGGAGGAAACTCACCAAAAGGACGTCTGTTCCAAACCAGAAGCAAAACAAACAAACAAACAAATCTGGAGGCTGTTTCCTTGCCACAAGAAAAATGCGCCTAGGGCCAACGGTGCCGGGTCACACAGAATGTGCTGGGGACAGTACCTTGGACAAATCACCTAGGCAGCTGCTGGACAGCTTCCCAGGAAATCCCAGCCAGCCCAGGGCTGCAGAGCCACGGGCAAAGAGCCTCCTGGCTGGCTCGCCAAATTGTTCTTGAACACAAACACAGGTTCGTTTACTCTCCACACAGTAGGGCCAATAAAGGAAAATAAAACTGAAATACCAGGCTTGTGGCAAGGAAAGAGGTTTACTATAGAAAGGCAGCCAGATGAGGAGATGGGAGTCAGAACTCAGATGCACCTCCTCGAAGGGAAAAAGGTAGGGGATTTTATCTGGGGTTTTATGTAGGGGAGGGAGAGCTGTGCTGGGGTTTTAGGTAGAGGAGGGGGAGTGTGTGCTGGGGTTTTAGGAGGGGGAGGGAGAGCATGTGGCCTTGTTGGTTGGCATCTTCCCACCAGCCTGTGTTTGGCCTTGAAGACTGAATTTCTTTCCCTTGACTGTTGGACTTCTCTGTTAGTTTTCATCTTCAGCCTGCATTTGGCCTTGTGAGGCTGAATCTTGATGTCTGGACCCTGACTTCCAGGGAAAGACAGCTCACTCATATACTAAGGAGGGACAGAAAGACCTGGTTAGTTTTGAACAACAGTTGATTATGCTGAGTATGCACAGCTGCAGTTAGCAAAGCTTATCAAAGTTTTTTTGCTCTAGGGAAGATTTTTTAACTTCGTGCTTGGTTAGTTTCAGTGTTGTTTTGTTCTGACTTGCTGCTCTGGTGAGAGTCTGTGGTGGGGTGTGTGGAAGTGAAGCATTTCTCGATGGCATTCCATATGTTGGAGTCTAGGAAAAGTGAGTCACGCAGTCTGGGCAATGACAATGAGTTCCTTCATGAAACGTAGAAAACAGAAATTCACATTTCAGATATCAAGAGGGCAGGGCAAGTCCCCTGGGAAATTCTAGAGTCCATGGCCACTGTGTCTTCTTAAGTCTCCTGTGCACACTGCCCTCTCCCTGAGACCTGATCTCTCCCACCTCCTGCATCCTGGCTTCCTCTTCCAGGGAATGAGGGCATTTAAGAAAATGCTCTTCAAATTTGACAACTGAAGATTCAGAGTGAACTTATACAGTTTGTTAAACGAACCCACTTTCAAGGCATGTTCCCCTTTCCAAGTCCAATTAACCTATTTCTGTACTGCGTCCTTCATGGAGCTCTGTCCCACACCTTCTTAAGGAAATACTTAAATTTGTTACTTTGCCTAGATACGTTAGTTTGCCTAGAGATGAGTAAATAAATCTGGTATTGACTATGGTTCTTGGAGCTGTGACTTTGAGAGCAGTGTGGTTCAGTAGAACAGCACCTGCTGCAGCTCAGCCCTGGGTTCTAATCCCAGCACCACCAGTTACTAGCTACCAGGGAATGAACTTCTCTGAGCTGCATTTCCTTACCTGTCAGAGGATAATAGTATCTTCTCACAGTGTTGCTATAAGGATTGCACTAGATATTGTATGTCAGTATGACTTATGTCTCTCGGTAACTGTTAGTGCTATATGAATTTTTGCTACAACATTCAAATTTAGTGGCATTCACTAGGGAACCAGGGTCAGAGAGCTACAAGCCTATGAGACAGTGAATTCAAATAGAAAATAGAAACCTGCAGTGGTGTTCCCAGTACTGAGTTCCTCTTCAGAATTAAGAGAAACAATCTCTTATCTTCATTGGAAAGAGACCAGGAAAGGGGGGGATTGTGAATGCAGTTATTTTATATTTTTCCATTGGGTAAAAGACAAACTGGTTAATCCTCTGAAAAGAATTGGAGGTTGGTAAATTTTCATGTTTCGTTTTTATCCCTGGCTCATTATTTTTAAAAGTAGGACAAGAGTTCCCAGCCATGTTATCTTCCAAATGTATTATTGGAGAGAGTACTCACTGAGTGCCTGTCACTGGTATAGCAACCTGAAGATGTGTAGAAATCCTTATTCACATTTTATAGATGAAGACACCGAGGCACAGAGAGGCTAAAAACTTAGACAAGGTCGCACAGCTAGTAAGTGATGGAGCCAGGATTTAACTTAGCCGTCTAATAGCCCAAGTGGGATGATGGCTTAGGCAGGAAGGCTCACTGTGTGCTCGAGGACCTTCTCTCTTAGCCACAGAGACAGGGAGCAGCTAGAGCTCCCCTGAGACCTGCTTGTATGATACCGTTAGGGCAGTAGAGGCTCAGAAGAAAGGATCCCTGGGCACTGGAGCAGTCGGGGTTGGCTGCTAGAAGGGCTGCAGTATGACTTTCATGGGACCCTTCCTCCATAAAAAAAAATAAATCAATATTATATGTTATGACTGTGTCGGTATAGAGATGAATAAAATACAGGCTGGATTCACTACTATATGTTCATTACTATTATGTTCATTGTTTTCTTGTGATTTTAAAAGAAATTACATTAAAACATTTTTGTGGGCCCCTAAAAGTACCCTGAGCCCCAGGCTCTGTGCCCCTTGTGCCTGGTGGACAGGTTGGCCCTGCGCTTGTGATGGTGTGGACGTTCAGCCATGCTCTGAAGAATGGGTAGAAGGAATTTGAGTAAATGGGAAACAAGGATTTTAGGTAATTGCGTGAGCAAAGGGAATGGGGAATGAACATTACCTAAGCCGGGCACCCCAGCTGCCCAAAGGGAAGAATGCTTGTTGGAATAGAGGGCGATATGGGAGCCTTGAAGACCCGCCTGAGGCATCTTGGACAGGCTGAGTCACAAAGGAGAAAAAGAGAATTTAGAGACGTCAATACCCAAAGCCAGTTGAAGAAGGATCAGAACCCATCCCTGATAAAGGTCTCATCCACTCGAGGCAACATGAGAAAAATAAGGACAATGTAGTGAGTTTTTAATAAGGCGGATTTATTCCATGGAAGGAGCTGTTCTTCTTATGTGTTAAATCCTTCATGATTTGGGGGTTTAGACATGTCCTTACATTATAGTGAATGAAGGTGACAGCTCTAGTAAATGGCCATTTCTTTTAAAGTGTTTGCGTGGCAAAAGTTGACAACTCTAAATTGGCCCCCAAAATGATTTTGAATTTTTGATTTTGGTTGACAAAATCCGAAGTTGTTGAAATCACTGTACTAGAAAATCTCTTGCCCTGAGGAAGAGAGCCCAAGTTCTCAGTGACCCCAGTGCTCCACCAGCCTCATCATTTAGATTCCATATTCCGTGTCCCCATCCTACTGGGACATGTCTCCACAGCTCCAGTCAACAATCCCTTTCCTCCAGGGGTGAGCAGCCCCCCACCTGTCTCTCAGCCACCATAATAGCTGTCACCTGGCTGTCTCTTTCCCCTTCAGTTCCTCGGTGGTCACTGTCTTCTGCAGTCTCACTGGCTGCTCTTCTTCCTCCCCTCCCCTCACTGTCTGGATGGGAGGGGGCTTCCAGAAGGTGGGCAATAACAGAAATCAACTTGAAAGGTACATCTGATTCTCTAGCCTAAAAAAAATTGCTTATGCCTTGCTCATCTCTCCCGGTCTCTTTGAGCTCTGTATTTATGGAGGAAAGCCCTATGTTTGGCTACGCGTAGGCCGGCACACACAGATCCTTTTTGAGTAACATGATGCGGCTGAATGAGTAACATGATGACTAGAATGTAGCGAGTTGCTGTGGCCTTGGGTGAGAGAAGTAAACGTGGGCTAACCTCACTGCATGCATACGCGGAATGAGTGTGGATGAGCGGCCTTTGCAGACACACTCAGGAGGAATGTCTGAAAGCACAGAGTGGGGAGGAGGCTCTTGCAGCGCCAGAGCCCAAGGTGGTGCAGAATAGAAGAGTGAAAGGATTCACGGCCTAGCACTCACTCGGATGTGCTGGTCTCCACCAACAAGCAGTGAGACCCGCCTGAGTTTGAATCCCAGCCCTGTGACCCACTCACTACTTGATGACCCTGGGCAAGGCCTAGCCAGAAAAATGGAGCTACTGAGACCTGCCAAGCAGGGCGAGGTGAGAAAGTGAAATAGAGCTCCGAAGGCCTTGTGGATGCTCAGTGGTTATTTTTTAAAGAAAACCCTTTCTTGACTGTTCTGCTCTCCATGGTGTGAAGCCCAGAGACTACCCTGGACTCTTCTAGCTGAGTCTTACCTTCCTTCTCCTGGGTGCGGGGGAGTCCTTGTGTGGTGTGCCCGTTCCCCTCTCTCTGTCCAGCCGTTTGTCCCAAACACTCTGCTTTATTCATTTGGTCACAGTAGTTATCTAGTGTTTTAGTATCAAACATAGGCCTGTGTTTATTGGAGAAATAAATTCTGTCCTCTCTAAGACCATCCTAAAAAAAATAAATAAGGCTGTATTTTCATGTCTATTTTCTGAAGTTGCCGATGCACCTTCAATATATGTTCTATTTATTTTCCGCAGACAGTAGTTCCTCAGGGAAGAACAGAAAAAAGGAAGATTATATTTTTGAGTCAAAGAGTGATCGAGGAGGAGGGGAACACCCAGCCCCCGAAGCAGGTAAATGTGTACCTTGGAGACTCATTCAGAGGACCGCATAAACATTGACAGGACCACACAGCCTCTAGTTGAGGATAGTAGATGAAGCTGCAGGAGTTCATGACACGAGCAGTGACCTATGGATCAGAAGAACTGTTGTGTTCTCATCTCCTCTATCATGTGTCATCTTTGGGCTCTTGAACTAATAACCACACATCTTTGGACCTCAGCTTCCTCCTTTACAAGTTGAGTGGGCTGGATAATCCCTCTAGTCCCTTCCAGGTGTAACATTCTATGGAAAGAGCAATGCTCACAGCACAGTGGTTAGGAACACAGCCTCCAAAATCAGACGCCAAGGCTCAAGTCCTTGCTCCACCACTGAGCTCTATGACTTTGGGCGTTATCTTCTCTCTCTGGATCTCAGTTTCCTCATTAGGAAGATGGAGATAATGACCTATACCTGCCTCACAGAGTTGTCAGGGAGAATGAATGGGACAACTAATAGGAAGCATTTAGCACACTGCTTGGCTCATACAATGAGCCAAATAAATGATGGCTATTGTGATTGGGTGATGTATGACACCACAGGAGTGAAGGTCTTAGAGCACCCAGTTCTCTCTCCACGTGCTCTAGTGACAGAGATGGAAGACAGTAGGAACAGGGAAAGGGTGTGGGAGGTTAAGGGAATATTTAGTAAATGAGGAAGAATACCATAATTCCATAATTGTGCTTGTTTTTAACGAGAAAGAAAACACTTTTGACATAGTCCTGTTGAAAGGCAGGTTTTAGTCCTAAATCCGACAAATTAATTAGTAAAAGAAGATTTAGGAGAACAAAATATGATTCTTAAGTTATAGATCTAAACATTGAGAAACTTGCCTTTCACCCAAGAGTCGTCTTTGTAATATCTGGAGAGTATTAAAGTATCAATTTAAAGAATAGATGGCTAAACTAATCCAGATACCAAGAACCTAGATGCTACCTTGTCTGCTGGCCTGCTGGACTTACCCTGTCCCAAGATATCTGAATAAAAAGATCCCCGTCCCCATCGACATACAAAGGGAAACCAGGGGGCCGGCCAAGTGGTGTAGTGGTTAAGTTTGCACGCTCTGCTTCGGTGGCCCGGGGTTCACAGGTTTGGATCCTGGGCACAGACCTACACACCGCTCATCAAGCCATGCTGTGGCAGCATCCCACATACAAAATAGAGGAAGATGGGCACAGATGTTAGCCCAGGGCCAGTCTTCCTCAGCAAAAAGAGGAGGATTGGCAATGGATGTTAGCTCAGACCCAGTCTTCCTCATAAAAAAAAAAAAAGGGAAACCAGGCCTGCCCCTTGCCCGGTTGGCCGGTACCCATTCTGGGTATGGTTATGAATGTCACTCCCAGTCACAGGAACAGAATACTCAATTCATCCCCTTGTCTGGTTTCTGAGAAAACTATCATGATGTGTTTAGAAGGAGTTGGAAACTTTTAAACTTTTAAATCTCAAATTACCCAAACTAAAAACATTGAAGAAACTGTGCCACCTAAGTATTGAAACGTCTAGAATAATTTTCAGTATTCTAGCAAGTACTCTGTGGGAGATTTCATTTTCCTTGTCATCAAAGCATTAAACAGGAATCAGATTTGAGAGTTCAGCAACCTCATATCTGACTTGGCCAACAGAAAATTCCCCTGGATTTTATGTCTGCTTTATTGTTACCACAGCTAAACCTGAGCCCAGACTTGAGATTGGATCTTCAACCACAGCCCCCTTCCCTGTAGCCAAAACACTGGTGATTGTCTTTACACAAGACACCAACATGTAGAAAGGCAGCTTCAAACCACTGTCCTGCCCTGAACAAGCAGAACCAGGATAGGTGTTGGGATCCAGTTTGTAAGAAATGGTTTGGGGTTCGTGGGGTTTCGGTAGGGGTTGGCCAAAGTCTGTTTTTTTGCCCCATTCCTTTGTAACATATCCAACTTATGTGGCTGGTAGAGGAGGATGCAAGAGAACTGACACCTTCCAGGGCCTGAGCCCTTTCAAAACTTCTTCCCTCAGGGTGGCCATGAGGAGACTCTAGTAGCTACTAAGGCCCCAACCTGTTGGCCTGGAGAAATTCAGCGGTGATTCTGACTCCTCCAGAGGGGTTTGGTGTGTGTGGAATGTCTGAGGCAACTCTAGAATCAGGTTCTAGACTGTTGGTTTCTCACAGATGTTTATCTTTCACAATTCTCTATGGGAATACCAGATTCATCCAGACTTTGTTTGGTACCCAGCAGTCACTAACACACCTTCCCCATCCCCTCCTCCTGCATCCAGACACTTCCAGACTGTTCTTGAGAATCTTGTTCAGGAGTTTTACCTGGGATTCTACAAACACACCAGAGGTTGAAATGCCTCTGTATGTACTCAGTATGTACTCAGCTCCAGGTGCTCTGTCCTCAAGAGGAGGCCCCCTATGGCTGGACCAGTTTTAAGTCCAGCAAATCAAAGCTGTCAGGAGTGGACGTCCCCAGGTACCTACCCCCAAATGTACACACTCACCTGTTTCCACCCACCTTCCCTTCCTTTCCTCCAGGACTAAAGGAGAAGGTGTCCTTCCAAGGTCAGTCTCTCCCCTGACCTTGATGCAGCCTGTATCTCCTCAGGTACATTTCTCCAGATGCATTTTATGCATCTCTCCCGATGCATAAAAATCAAAATTGCATCCCTCACCCTTCAACATCCCTGTAAATGAATTCCCGATTGCCAAGTCCAGTGGCCTCTCCAGGCTTCAGCTCACTTGACCCTCCTTAGCATGTGATTGAGCTCAGCACTTTCCTCTTGAAATAGTCTCTTCCTTCTGCTTCCAAGACTCCCCTTTCTCCAGGGGGTCCTCCCATTTCTCTGTCTTTTTCTGTTCTTTCGGTTCTTTTCTTTGGTCTGCCCTTTTAAGTGTTGGTTTCCGAGGGCCTTGTTCACGACCCTCCTTGCTTCTCCCTTTCTCTCTGACAATCTCACCCACTTTCATGTGCAAACACCACCTTGATGCTCAAGGCTCTCACATATTTAGGCTCAAGTAATCCAAGAGCCTGATAGAAGATTCCACCTGGATCTGCCATAGGCATCTCAATCTGAAAACATCAAAAAATAAACTTATCTCCCCCACACAGGCTCCATCATACATCTAAATCACTCAAGCAAAAATCCTACGAACCAGATACGTGGACCACTCACTCCTTTTACGTCTGTACTTCTTCATATATAATTCTGTCATAGTAACTATAACACTGTATTGCATTTTTTCATTTAAATGTCTATCTACCCCGACTTGAAGTCATTATAAAACTCTCTCTTTTACCCGTTGGAGGAGTGCAGTACCATGGAGGTTCTGGAGCTGCCCTGTCTGGGCCATACCCTAGCTCCACCATTTACCATACAGACTTCAACGAGTCACCTAACTCTTGATGCCTTCGTTCCTCATTTATAAAATGGGGATGAAAACAGTACCAAGTCCTATGGTGTTGTGGGAATTAAATGATTTCAGCTGTACAGGACTGAGAACAGTGCTGACATCTTTAGCATTAGCTTATCATCTTTGATCACAAGCACTATTTTGGCTAAGGAAAAAAATCTCTTTAGTTCTCCTTCATAGGGTTTTTCCTGTGGGATTGGTGCTAGACACCCAGATGAGAAGCCGACTTTAGAGGCCTGCAGGAGTCTGGAAGGGACAGGGTGCTCCAGATCAGTCTTCCTTGTTGTCAAGCTCAGCAGGCTCCATTCTTAGTCTGACCCACGCCTGGGCAGGCCTGGCTTGCAGACGAGATGGTGGAACTATTTTCAGCCGCAGGTGGCTTGCCAAGTGGTGGAACTAGAGGAGCAAAAATCTCCATTGCATAAGCTGATTCTGTAACATTTTCTGTATTTATTCATTCATTCTGCATTAATTAAGAGCCATGTGCCTAACACCGAGCTATACACCAGCATATTTTGAAGTAAGTTTTCAACAATGGTTCTACTGGCTGAGAGAAGGTTCCCTGGATTTAGAAAAGGAAATAAATTTCTTAAAGCCCTAACCAGAACCAGAAATCAGGAGTTAGTCCCTACGTATTTTATGAATCCATAAAGGTAATCTATGACTACAGTGAGAAAACGTCCTGTGGTCACAGGTCTTTGTGGCTGTCCATTTACAGAATGTCTGTTACAGGTGGATGGAAGGTGATCCCACTGCAACATTGGTACCCACTGATGCTGTACAAATTTGGTAGGGACCTGGTAAAGAATTTGGTTTTAAAGAAGTCTGGGTTTGAGACCTAGACCTGCAATTTACAAGCTACGTGCTCTTAGGCCAACTACTTAATCTCCCTGCACCTCAGTTAATCTGCAAAATGGTGGTAGTGCGGGTACCTGCCTGAGTTTTCCAGATTACGTAGGGCATGCAAAGTGCTTATCGTATATAAACTGTGGCTGTTACTGTTACTAACCGCTGACCTGCCCTGCTCACTTCTCGCCTTGTCACAGGTGCAGTGCTCCCCCTGGCCCTGGGTTTGGCCATCACTGCTTTGCTGCTTCTCATGGTTGCCTGCCGGCTCCGACTGGTGAAACAGAAACTGAAAAAAGCTCGTCCCATTACATCTGAGGAGTCTGACTACCTCATAAATGGGATGTATCTATAATAAGTGTAATTTAAATAGCTGGGGGCAAGGACATGTTTCACTTATAATTTATACATATATTGGGTTCTGGATATTGACAACCTCTTTTGTTTTTAACTGGGCTAAGAAAACTACTGAAAGCCTAGAAGATTCTGCAAATCTCAAACCTTTGTCTTTATCGTGGAAAGATTTTCCTTGGGAAGTATGTGAAATATTTTGAAATTTAGAGAGGAGTCCATATGATTAAAGTCTTTCACAAATCTAATTCTAATTAAGCTGTCCCTGAAAATGGAAATGTGTAGTTAGCCAAGGCAGAAAATTCAGGAAGTATCCTTAGAATGGCAGTGTTGACCCATTACTTTTCAGAAGCCCACGTGGGCCCCTGGCAACCTTGGGCCCCCCTGTGCACAGCTTTCCCTGGTTCTGTGGGTTCTCTTCCTCACTTTAAGCTTCCAATGCTCTCCTTCCTCTTCGCCCCTTCAAAACCTGCTTCTGAGAACGGATCTCAAGTGAGTTTATACCTCCAATGAGATGTTGTTACCTGTGGCAGGAATATCTAGATTATAAACCTTACGAGAGTCAGTGAGTCCTCAGGGAAGGTGCAAGTGGGTTCTTCTACATCATGTCATGTAGATGGCTGCCTCATTAGGCTGACCTTTGGGAGGAAAAACCCAGACTTTGGGTTGCAGATAGCTCTAACATGGTCATGAAGTGAGACAGGAAATCAAGGTGGAGGCAGAGAGCCTGGCAGCTCAAACATGTTAACGGAAACTTAGCTGAGGGCAAAGTGAGCCAGGAGGACCATTAGTTCTTTCTTGTGTCTGCTCAGCACTACCTGACGGTCCAGGACACAGCAGCTCATGTGTAGAGTCCCTGGTTTTCAGCGTTAGTCTGTGCTGATGGGAGAGCAAAATGCATTCAAATTGAAAAGCAGAACATGGAGTGGATTTCTGGTTATAGCTTTTGTGAAAAATGTCACATGGTTAAGTATCTGCAGGTTCTTTTATCCAATGGAATGAGTCACTTTTCCCCACTATTTACTTAATGCTATACAACGGTATGATGTGCAATCAGCTAACGCCAGGCTTATGTATTCCCAGAGCATAAAGCAGTTTTGCACAAATTTATCTTTAGAGAAAACCGGCATCTAGCTGAGCATCTTTTCCCTTTTAATCTGTAGGATTTTAAAAGCAAATTATTCCCATCACCACTTAATGCCAGCATTTTAACACATTCTAGAAATTACTGAGAGGAATGGATAGTGCGGTGCCTGTCTACACCCACATGATGTTCCTATTTACATAATATAGTTTTTTACCATAAGTGGCAAATCTTTTAAAATACTTGAAAACACTCTAGAACCCTTTCAGACCCTTTCTCTTTCAGAGAACCAACCCCTCAGAACCTGAAGTAGGTTGTTCATTTAGCAAAGGGCTTAATTTGGGTTGGAGATACAACTGAATGCATTAACAAATGGATAGTTAGTTCTAGAAAAACAAAGAAATTTGTTGTTTTATTTCCTGAGAAACTCAAGCATTTTGCTGAATGTTTAGAATTGAGCAGATTTAAATGTCTCCTCAATGGCGTTTTGAAGGATGACTGTGAGTGAACTCATGGTGTTTGTGCTCTGTCTGTGATGCTGGGCAGTTTGTTTTTATATGGACGATGTCGCCTACAGCCACACCCAACAAAATCAAAACCGATGAGGCATGCATCTTTCAATACATCTTTTATACACGAGGAAATTAAACAATTTAGTATTGCTATGGTGTTCAAATACCTGAGAAGAGATGTCTCGTATCTGTGTGTACAATATTCCTTTAATAAATTGTATTTTATTCTTAAACCTTTTTGTACAACTTTTTAATAGAATCCTAAATTGCTAGTATTTCCTGAGCTGTTACTAGATGATGTGGATTTAATCATACCAACCCTATTTTACAAAGGGAGAAATTAAGGATTAGAGGAGAATCCAAGTCCTCAAAACATTTATATTTTCAAGTGCAATGAATGGGACTTTTAAAGTTCCCCTTACTTATGATTATCTGATTGAAGGAGTTCTGCATTTAAGCCAATTTAAAAATAATTTTAAAGGGAAAGTTGTCCACAATTTACCTGCCAAACATGTTCTTGGGTTTCATATCTCTTTTCCTGAGAAGAGGCCCACCTAAACCATCCTCCCGAAAACTTCAAACTTTTCTCCTTTAACCCTCAGTACAAGTCCATCCTCCCACAAGCATTTTCACATGTCAAGTCACCTGAGTATCAGTATGTCCTCTTCCACAGGAAAGGAACAGAGCTTGCTTTCTCCCACCAACTTCTCCGAACCTGGGCTTTGGCTCCATGATTCCTCTCACTCACCGCACCTCCTTTCCGTCACTGACGACTGTCCCATGTTTCCCCATGACCCGAACACCAAGATGCATATTTCTATTTGTTCCCCAGTTTTGCTGTTCAGTTTTGCTTGTTGATGAGTTACCTGGCTTTCACCTGTGTACACACACTACGGTGAAGCGCGCCCCAGGACGCAGGCACCATCCTTAGCATCACGTCACACTGATGATGCCAGGTAACCTCAGCATCCGAGCCTGAGATGCTGTCATTTGGGGTCACTGAGAAATTATATTGTCCCAAACCGTTTCACGTTTGGCTGCGTTCTCTAGGAGTATGCCTCTTTGTTCCTCGCGCAGTTATTCCAGTTGTCTTTTCTGGACTCCAGGTTTTCTACAACTGTTGGCTTAAAACTGAAGGAGAATTTCTAACAGAAAACTGCCCAGGCTGCATACAGAGGGAAGAGCTGCGCTTGCAGTGCGCTGTTCCCAAATGTTCTCATCTCCCTGGCTTCTTAAGCAGCTGTCTTGCTGACTTTTCCTTAGGTACTGGCCCCATTTTCCCAGCTCTTTTGCCCTACTCAATTCTAGTCATCTCAAGATGAAGTGTGTATTTCAAGTTATAGCTACTTAAATGGCAAACACTTATAGACTCTTTGGCTAATATGAAACCACCAAGGATGAAAATAAGGTTAGACACACAAAACTGAATGTGTTCAGGACTGGACTGAACGGTTAGAACGGAGCCTTCTCCTGCATTTGCTTTATTTAGGTCTAAGTATGTTTTCATTCCTAGTTATTTTAATTCTCAGATCACAATAATTTTTAATTTTGTATGTCACCACACTGTAAATTGGAAAGAGATCAACTTACAATATCATTCAGCTTAAAGATCTTTTTATGAAGTTATTTCAAAACTTAGAAAACTCCTCAAAACAAATTTTAATACCAAACTATTTTTATTTTTTTTGTGTCTGAGGAAGATCAGCCCTCAGCTAACATCTGCCAATCCTCCTCGTTTTGCTGAGGAAGACTGGCCCTGGCCTAACAGCCATGCCCATCTTCCTCCACTTTATATGGGACGCCGCCACAGCATGGCTTGACAAGCGGTGCATCGGTGCGCGCCCGGGATCCAAACCGGCAAACCCCAGGCCACCGCAGCAGAGAGCACCCACTTAACCGCTTGCACCACCGGGCCGGCCCCAAAACTATTTTAATTTTTACCAAAAAGCTTAGGGAAATTTGTGTTGAATATATGGACTTTTAAAAAAAGTTCTTTCATTTTCGTACATCATCATTTCATGACTGAAGACTCAAAGACCCAAATAAATCAGAAGGCAGTGTTCTTATATTTAAAACAAAGCAGTTTCACAGACAAAAAGATTTAGCTAAATCTCTAAATATGTTATCTAGAGACTTGTGTATAGAAGAATACAGAAATCAGAACCGTGAACTGTGAGTCTGAGACCGTGCCTTCCATTTTTTGGCCAGTGAGCGGGATAGGCCGACACTCCTTCACAACACCCCTCCCCATAACTGCCTGGTCTGTTTTATCCAACTGTTGCCTACAACCTGTCCGCTCAGTGGAGCCAGCATCTTACAGAGAGCAGGTCTTTTTCCCCAGAAAATACTCTTTTTGCAACTGATTGAAAACTGATACAATAGTGTTAACATGGAAATTCTGCAGGCTCTTTGATCCATAACGTAATCTCTAGGCAAAATCCTGACAGGATAATCACCAAAAAGATAAATCAATAGTGCTGGCAGAAGAAAAACTACTCCACGTGATGTGATCCTTTGCGGGGCAGTGAAGTGTTCGGGGTGTGGGGATTCAAATATTAATGTCCTCAGCTGCCCCAGGCCCCTCGACTGCTACCCTCCCATGTTTAAAATGTCCTCAGTATTGCCATCACCTGCCTTTGGACAAAAAATTATTGTTCCTGTGATACCCATCCTATCGGAACACTCCACCTGAGCGAGAAGGAGTCCTTCAGATCCGGCAGCCTGGATCTTCCCCTCATGTTAGGAAACGAAGTGAAGGGAAAGGAAACAAGGGGAGAGAAGAAGGGAAGGAGGCACTCACGGCCCAGCTGGGCCCTACAGGAACCCAAGTCAGATGCTTCCTCTGCCCAGAGGCCCGGCCCAAGCAGTACAAAGGCAGTTAAAGGGACGAAGCCAGGGCCGCCCCAGTGCTGGAGACGTTGAGTGCGCGCTCCACTTCAGCGGCCCAGGGTTCGCAAGTTCGGATCCTGGGTGTGCACCGATGCACTGCCTGTCAAGCCACGCTGTGGTGGCGTCCTATACAAAGTGGAGGAGGATGGGCACGGACGTTAGCCCAGGGCCGGTCTTCCTCAGCAAAAAGAGGAGGAGTGGCAACAGATGTCAGCTCAGGGCTGATCTTCCTCAAAGACAACAACGAAAAAGATGAAGCCTAAAGTGGGGAACCAAAATTACTGTCGTAGCAATGACAGTAGAAAGATTAAGGGTAAGGAAATTATCAGACTTGTTTTCCTTTTTATTATATTACGATACACAAAACAAATTTCCTTGGCCCCATGGGCAGCCATTTTCTTCAAGCAGGATTTTTTCACGGGTACTCTATTTGAGCCACCCTTTAAGTACAATGGGGACAAAACATTGTCATCTTCCTGAAAAACAGTAGGAGAAATTGAGAGAAAACTGAAATCTGATCAGAACTCGTTTGTTTAACTGAATATAGTTCTTTAAGAACACAATAAGTTGTAGGAAATGATAATTTATATCCTAGAAGAATTTTAGCACTTACCAAAAATAAGTTATTGGCCTTTTAAACCTCATTTAGGACATTTTTTAAATTACCCATGTTTGGGGGTTGGCCTGGTGGCGCAGGTGGTTAAGTGCGCGCGCTCCGCTGCGGCGGCCTGGGGTTCACCAGTTCGGATCCTGGGTGCGCACTGACGCACCGCTTGTCAGGCCATGCTGTGGTGGTGTCCATATAAAGTGGAGGAAGATGGGCAGGGATGTTAGCCCAGGGCCAGTCTTCCTCAGCAAAAAGAGGAGGATTGGCAGATGTTAGCTCAGGGCCGATCTTCCTCACAAAAAAATAAATAAATAAATAAATTACCCATGTTTGTTATTTCATTTGCAACCCTAGTACTCAATTACCATAGTCATATGAGTTCTTTTAGTGCCATATGAAACTACTGGAAAATCTGTTAACATTTAGCTGAAAACCAGCAACACCCACCTCTGTAATGAAACAAAATTAAAGAGCTTTATTTCTTGGCTGACAATCAGATGCCGAGAATCTTCAAAGAATTCATGAGTATTAAGTTACTACTAAAAAATGTTATTCTATTTTAAAATACATTGAATTTTTTTAAGATGCTTTAGTATAAGTACCTTATAGTCAATTTAAGAAGTGTAATCAACTTTTTTTTTTAACAATGCAGTGTTTTTAAAAGGGTAAGGGATTTTAAATATTTGCACGGACAATGTTAATGTATTATTTTCCCCCAAATGTCATTTTTTTCAAATGTTACTGGTTGCGAAAGAGTTGAAATCTTCATTAGACACTGGAATTCTTATTTTTAATTCTTGAGAGCTAGATTTGGCTTTAACAAAATCAAATCTATAAAAAAAACATGTTGTTTCAATAGGATCTCACTAGTCTGGAACTTTTAAAAATCTTTTCATTGTTGTCCTTCATATTATATAAAGGAATCACTTCTATTAAGGAAAAGTGAAATACTAAAATATTTTAGAAATTATGAATACTAAAGATTAAAGAGACATTTCTTATCTCTGACCAACACATACAAATTCAACTCTCAGAAAGAAAAGCTCTTAGACCTAGTTAAAATTATTTCCACCTCTGTCCACTTATTGATGCTTTCTCAAAATGCATTCCTGTTTATTCAACAGTTAAACGTTTTAATTCACAAAAGTGTAAAGGCCAAGAGCAGCGCTAGCATGGCATCTCTCTACACCAAGCAGGTGGCACTTGGTTTGTCCTATCCCTCAACCAGACTGCACACTCCTTGAGAGGAAGAGCCTTTTTCTATGCCCAAGACGTAACATAGAGATTTACATATAATAAAATGTTGGTAATGGCTAGGAAGGGTACAGACTAGTGGATAAGTTTAAGAATTAGTCCTATAGAATACTTGATCTTTGAAACTACTCAAATGACACTGACTCCTGGACCGAAAGAGCATGGCCTGGGTCCAGAGGCAATACCAACAGCAAAGTGAAGCCAGCAATGGACTTCACCTCACAAGTCTTGGCCACCAACCAAGGCTAGCTCCCTGTGTCTGAGACCTTGCCCAAAAAGAGACTCTAGTGAAAAGATGTATGCATAATTTTTTTAAGCCATTTTTCAAGAAGTAATGTTTCAGACTAGAAGAGGTGGGCAAGGGCCTCACCCCCTCCCTAAGGATCTACTTGCCAGAATCACACGCACTTGCACACAGCAGCGGGAAGGGCTTATTTCTTCAAGTTCTAGAATCCTTAGACAAACTAAGATCCTATTATAAAAGGTATAAAACTACATTTAAACAGATCCCCAAGTGCTGCTGCCTTCTTAGGAACTCATTTTACAATCATTATATTAATAAATCTATTTATAGGTGAGAGATGGGTTTTGGTAAATTTATCCTCAAGCCTCTTCTTCCCTGACATGAAGTCAACTCATTCACTCACTCTTTTGGCATTTATAATACATCTACAAGAGGACAAGCCCTATGTTAGGCAAAGAAACATGATCAATGAGGTGTAGTTCTTGTCCTCAAGAAACACAGTCACATTCTACAAACGTACAATTTTGGATTAATGCTATTAACCTACTCAGATTTCATGAAACGGAGCAAAAGAGACACAATTTTTCCTCTGATCTTAGCATTCGGTATCTGGTAGACATGCAGTTCTTTCTTCTATATTCAAACACCACCAACGCCTCTTTTACTTTTAACTTTATTTGGCAAAGCAGCACTGCATAAACTGTTCAGTAACTAGGACACAGCTTACACAGCATGTTAAATTCATATACATTATCAGCAGCAAATTAGAAACAGAAAAACAATACTGAGCTACAAGTCTCCTATACTTGTTAAAGAGAGAAAGAAAGAACTACGTCAATTATGTCCAATCTGAACGGCTGAGGGTTTTCAGGGGCATCACCTGCCGTCTTCTTAAGTGTCAATATTGACAAAGGCTTAGTTGTATGGTAACAGAGCAGCCGACTGGATCTACAGCATGCTAGTCTATGACACCACAGCAAAAGCTTTACAAAAGCATCTAAGAGACATCCAAAAACCAAGAATCTGAACTGGTGAATGGTGGTGTTATCTGATGCACAAAAGCAATCTCATAAATTCATATTGGAACAGAATTAAGTGTCTAAGAAAAGAAAAACCACTCTTCAAAATCAATTCATAAACTAAGTTGTCCATTTTGCAGAACCCCTTCTTTTAATATTTTAAAGTAAAATGTGGGCATGTTAAAGTAACAATACACAAATTTATACCTTGCACCCCTCCTCTACCAATTTGGCTTCTGTGCCTCTTTGAAGAATGAGAAACCCTACAAAACCACACATTTTCATGCTGAAAATAAGAGTGTAACAAAGTCCAAAACAAGCTGTGATGCTGTTGGTTTTCAAAAAGCTCTGAGGACTGAGATGAGCAATCCACTGTAATATTATTTACTGGTCAAGCTGATGTTGCTTTTACAGTTCGTCCCTGGGGAAAAAAAAAGAGAGAAATATATAAGTAGGAGTTCCATACTGCAAAACTTGGCTTTCTAATAGTTTAGGTACACTATTAAAAAATCAGTAAAAATACACTGATCCCCAAGCAATATATTATTTTTAAAAAAAGAGCAAACAAAGCAAAAATGGAAGCCAGCCATTTCAAACATCTCTCATGCTACTCCAGAATGAAGTATGAAACCTAAAGGGCCTGAATTCTTTGTTTCTTAATTCTAATGATAACTTCCTTTAAGATCAAAAAATTTAGAGAAGTTATAACTTTTAGTCTAGGATCTTGCTAATACTATTTATTGTAAAATGACGACTTGAGTATTTAGAGTTCAAATAATTTTTTATAGTTGCATTCACAAAATTGGACAAAAATTTAGTCTTTTGCTTAGAGTATCTGTTAGCAATTGTTGAGTGAGTCAATTCAACCCAGACTCTTCGGGAGAAAAAGCATCATCTGTAGGTATAATACACCTGTCAGCTGATTTCATAAGGCAGCTTTATCAGCTCCAAAAGAAACCATTCGCTCAGCCAGGTGCAGCACTGTACCAGTAACTGCCAGTGAGAGGAAGAAAGGAATAAAAATGCAGTCTAAAATAAATTGTATGGTATATAAATTATACCTCAATAAAGCTGTTAAAAGTGAAAAAATAAAGCTATGAGAAAAGTCTAAAAGCTTCATATTTGAGGGGAATCTGAGTGACAAAAACATTATTAAACACTCAAGTACTTCAGGGGTAAAGAAGTGCGATGTTTGCAACTAAATCTCAAAGGAAAAAATATTACATATATGTATATGTAGAAATAGAGAGGGAGTGAGAAAGCAAATGTGGAAAAATATCAATAACTTGTAACTGGATGAAGAGATTCAGTTCTTTGTACTATTCTTGCAATTTGTTTCTAATAACAATCAAAAAAATTTTTTAAAGTTGTTAAAATAAATTTGAAGGGAAGATAAATAAAGAGCTAAAATTTCCCAGGTAAGTGGTGAATTAAGTGATTATCGGACAATATGATTTTTAAAAAAACTGAATTTTGTAAATTGTGCAAGAAAATATTTTAAAAATTACTTCTCCCACAAACTGCCTTTATCATACAGTACTGGATTATCTGTTAAATGATAACTTATCAGTTCTGGTTCCTCTTAATATATTCTTCTAAATAATTTAAGTACTATAATTCTCACAGAACAGCTTTTACTTAAGTTCATGCAAACATTAAAATATTTAATCTTCAAAGAGTTCACTTGCAAAGTGCTCTTTTCATAAATTAAATTCACTTCTGCTTTTTAAAATATGAATTGAAGATACTATTGTTTTTTAAATAATTTACCACATTTTATTTACCTGTTGCAAGGCATTAAGGATACTGCAAATAAATATCCTTACTGCCCAACAACATAGTACAACATTTACAAATATCCTCTCCATTTAAAAAATTTTTTTTGAAAGGAAAAGGATAAAAACTCTCAATAAACTGGGTGTAGAGGGAACGTACCTCAACATAATTAAGGCCACATATGACAAGCCCACAGCTAACACCACACTCAATGGGGAAAAGCTGACAGCCTTTCCTCTAAGATCAGGAACAAGACAAGGGTGCCCACTCTCGTCACTTTTATTCAACATGGCACCGGAAGTCCTAGCCAGAGCAATTCGGCAAGAAAAAGAAATAAAAGGCGTCAAAATCAGAAAAGAAGTAAAACTGTCTCTTTTTGCAGATGACATAATATTATATATAGAAAACCCTGAAGACTACCAAAAAAATGTTAGAACTAATTCAATAAAGTTGCAGGATACAAAATCAATATACAAAACTCAGTCGCATTTCTATACACTAATAATGAACTATCAGAAAGAGAAATTAAGAAAACAATCCCATTTACAACTGTATCAAAAACAATAAAATACTGGGGCCGGCCCTACGGCAGTGTGGTTAAGTTCCATGCACTCTGCTTTAGCAGCCTGGATTTGCAGGTTCGGATCCGGGGCGTGGACCTATACCACCTGTCAGCCATGCTGTGGTGGCAACTCACATACAAAATAGAGGAAGATTGGCACAGAAGTTAGCTCAGCGCTAATCTTCCTCAAGCAAAAAAAGAGGAAGATTGGCAACGGATGTTAGCTCAGGGCAAATCTTTCTCAGCAAAAGAAAATAATTAATTAAATAATTTTTTTAAAAACAAATAAAATATCTAGGAATAAATTTAACCAAGGAAGTGAACGATCTCTATGCTGAAAACTATAAGCCATTAATGAAAGGCACTGAAGAAGACACAAATAAATGGAAAGAAATTCCATGCTCATGGATTGGAAGAATTAATATCGTTAAAAATATCCATACTTCCCAAAGCAATATACTGATTCAATGAAATCCCTATCAAAACTCTCAAGGTATTTTTTCACAGAAATAGAATAAACAATCCTAAAATTTGTACAGAACCACAAAGACCACAAATAGCCAAAGGCAATCTGGAGAGAGAACAACAACCTGGAGGCATCACACTTCCCGATTCCAAACTCTATTACACAGCTACAGTAATCAACACAGTATGGCGTTGGCATAACAGACACCTAGGTCAACGGAACAGAATAGAGACCCCACAAATAAACCCACACATATATGATCAATTAATTAAGGAGCCAAGAATACACAATGGGAAAGGAAAGTCTCTTCAATAAATGGTGTTAGAAAAACTGGACAGCCACAAGCAAAAGAATGAAACTGAACCTCTATCTTACAGCATACTCAAAAATTAACTCAAAATGGATTAAAGACTTGAATGTAAGACCTGAAACTGTAAAACTCAACTTAGTGTGGTAATCATTTTGTAATATATATATCAAATCATTATGTTGTACATCTAAAACTAATACAATGCTATATGTCAATTATATCTCAATAAAACTGGAAAAAAAATCATTGTAAAAAAAGGTTTAATGATGTGGGACAATGTTGATGACATTTTATTAAAGAATAAAAGGAAATTAAAAAATAATGCTACTGTATGATCTCAGGATTACAAAAGAGATGTATATAGATCTATGGATAAAAGAGTGAAAAAATATCTACCAAAATGTTAATAGTGGTTATCTCTGGGTTCTGGGGTTATGGGTGATTTTTATTTTATTCTTTGTACTTTTTTCTATTTTTATAATGCACATGCATTACTTTGGTAGTCAGAAACAGTATTCTTAAAAACAAATTGAAGGAAATGTACAGCACTAAAAAAAAAAAAAAAAAGGAAAAGACATTAAGTTTACAGATCTGAATGTTAACATTTAGCGTGCCAAGAAAAGCCAAAAGCTTGCTTCCAGTGCATATATAACCTTGTCACATCCTAGGACTCTAAAATCCATATAACTTTCAAGTTATTAATTTTTCCAAATGTTCAAAATTCTACTTAACCATATCTTGCTTTATCTAACATGCACAGAACATTTACAATAAAAAGTAGTATGTCCTAAATTTCTAGAAAGGTTCTTTAAAGTTGCTATATATGTACTAAATATATTAATTAGGTTAATAACTGTATATATTTTTTTATAATATATAATTATACATAATTTATTAGGTTAATAACTCTAAGCTACTAATATTTAGTATTGTATATTCCTTATCAAGAACAAATGAAAAGATGTACTACCAGGAAACAACAATCAAAATTCATGAACGCCAGTGCCGGCCCAGTGGCGCAAGGGGTTAAGTGCGCGCGCTCCGCTGTGGCAGCCCGGGGTTCGCTGGTTCAGATCCTGGGCGTGCACCAACGCACTGCTTGTTAAGCCATGCTGTGGCGGCGTCCCATATAAAGTAGAGGAAGATGGGCACGGATGTTAGCCCAGGGCCAGTCTTCCTCAGCAAAAAAGAAAAGGAGGAGGACTGGCATTGGACATTAACTCAGGGCTGGTCCTCCTCACAAAAAAAAAAAAAAAATTCATGAATGCTTTCTAATTAATGGGTTTTCCAAGGTAATAAAAGCTTTGTACAATTCACTTTGTACAAAGTATTATGAGAGAGATAAAAATTCCAAAAGCAACAGACTATATCCCTGCCTTTAAGGATGCAAAATATGTCATAATGCTGTAACATATGTAAAGAAATTAAAAAGGGACAAGATAGAAGGATATGGAACACAGGATCAGTTGGATACTCTAGGACCTACACTGTCAATCCTAGAAGTGCCCAATCAATTCATAACATCTCTTTCCTGAGTGCACGGCACTTCAAGACAACACCGACACAGCGCGTGTGGCATGAGAACCCGAAACATCCCTCAGTTTCACAAACCAGAGATGGACTTATTCCACTGACTCTTGTGGCTATTAAAAACAAAAACAAAATAAAACTTACCAGAAGATTAACAAAATATTGATTTCTACATATATAAAATACAAATTTAAAAAGTACTAAGAGTTTATGAAGCAACTAATACAACTTTCACTCTTGCACAGTCACGATCCTCATACTACAGGTTCCAGGTGTGTGGCCTATACGTCCACAAAGGGGCATTCTCTCCCCTTTGATTAATCCACCAAAATTACAAGTGACATTTTTCCAAGCATAAGGAGACATAAGTCTACATTCAGGTTTCTGGCTTTATTTGGCACTAGAAATACCGTATGATTTCCTTCATTAAGTAGTAGATAATAACAATAAACAAACACATAGAGACAGAGATTGGATTGGTGGCTACCAGAGAGGAAGGGGGGAGGGAGGAGGGTGAAAGGGATAATTCGGTACATGTGTGTGGTGATGGGTTGTAATTAGTATTTTGGTGGTGAACATGATGTAATCTATGCAGAAATAGAAGTACAATGATGTACACCTGAAATTTTTACAATGTTATAAACCAATGTTACTGCAATAAACAAAAAATTTAAAAAAAAATAAATAAAAAAAAATAAATGGAATGTCCACCAAAAAAAAAATATTTGGCACTAGAATTCAGCACACCCACTAGTTCTTTCTTTTCCATATAGTTTCTATCACACCTCCTCAGCAAAGATTGGACCCTCTGAGTGCACTGCAACTAGCTCTGGACTCCTCAAGAGAGAAGGATGGAAAGCTGGTAGAAACAAGAGAAGATTCATAGGAAAGCAGTAGGATGAGGTGTTCAATTAATCCTGAAGAAACTCTGAAAGAACAGAAATCTTCCAGCCTGGCAAGGAACTGACTAAGGAGTTTTCTAGATGATAATTCCCAAACGTGGGATGGGCACTTAGGAAATGGTAAGCGACTCTTCCTAACCACCTTCCACCCTCCACCCTCACCACCACTGCCCCCGACTGGCTACCTCCACCTCCTGTTACCCTCCTGAGATGGAATTCTGACCACTTGACTGCTTGGCTGCGAACACTTCAACTGCTCCCTACTGCCCTCAAGGCAGAGTCTGCACATATGCCTGCTCATCTTGTCTTTGGAATTTCTGGGGTCTCCCAGGTGACTCTTAAGTTCCAGGAGAATGGTCAGTTTCAAATTCACAGCTGTGTATGCCTGGCCCTAGTACAGTCCTGGCACAGTGGGCGTACACATGCTTGTTGAATTAATGAATGCATTAAGAAGGTCTTCACACTGAAAAATACTGAACAAACTTAACAAACTTAACAATGGAACTGCCCAAGAAAAGTATTACATGCAATTTAAAATAAACACAAATTTTTCTGTTGAGGACAGTTTAAGTACAGATTGGCCTGAAGGGGATAAAATACAGCACACAAAAACTAGGCGGTCTCTCAAATCTATTCCAGACCTAAATTTTAAAAGAAGCAGAGGCATCTGCTGCACGGGGAGCTGAGGGGAAGGAGGGGGCGGAGAGAGCTGGTCTCAGACTACATCTGTCACAAGGCACCTTCCTCTCTGACTTCCAGTGAAGTGAGTCTGGCCCATACGATGTCCCGCAGAGAGGAGGCCAAGGAGAGAGAATGGAGGTGATGCACAGATCTGGGGGCAGCTGCCTCCCTCTATCACAGCAACGCCCCAGGGACCACACTACCTCCCCGCCCCGCCCCCACTTCCCTCTGCTGTCTCTGCTCCAGTGGGTTCCAGTAAAACTGTTTCCTCCCCTTTAGGCCTAGAGTGGCAACAGCTTCCTCCTATCCCCTGGGGTGTCCCTGGGTATGTCAGCATCCTTTACTGGTTCCCATGAGCTTTCTTGTATTTCTCTGAATAGTCCCTTCATTAAAATCACTTCAAAATCCTAGCTGAGCACGCTGTTTCCTGCCGGGACCCTGACTGATACTTTGTGAACACAAACAGAAATACAGTCATGTGCCACATAACAACATTTCAACGTTTCGGTCAACGACAGCCCGCACGCACGATGGTGGTTCCGCAAGCTCAGTACCATAGGGCCTGGGTGTGTCGTAGGCTCTACCGCCCAGGTTTCTGTAAGCACACTCTGTGACGTTCATACGACGACGAAATCACCTAACAACGCATTTTCACAATGTATCCCTGTCGTTAAGCAACACATGACTGTGGCAGATTAATGTCTCCTAAGATTTTAAGCTAACTGTTGACGTTTTACCCTTTCAAACATCTTATTTTCTAGTAATTTCTTTCAGTACAAAATTTTTTTAAGTGTGGCAGTTCTTTTTTTCCAACTTTGTTTCCAGATTTTGTTTCACCTTTATATTCTTTAAACTTATATTCTTTAAACTTCAAGATTTACAATCAAGTAACTGATTATCTTTGTTATTAGAACTGCATCTTTGGATGTAGGCAAATGTGTTTGAACAAATACACAGAAAATCCACAATAAAAAAAAATCAGAAAGTTCTCCTAGTACAACTAGAGAAAAGTTTCCAATGATACAAACATGAAAAATTGCTCAATGTTTAAAAAACTTGAAAGCCAAAAAGAAAAATAAGCATATATATATTTAAATATTTGGTAAACAACTGAATAATTGTCCATAAACTTAAAAATTATTCTAAATTTATTCAAATAGTTTAGTTTTATCAGGGGTGGATCCAGGTGTTGCAGAGGCCTAAAGCTTATATAATTATATAAGTCACCTCTCTGTGAATGGGGCAAAAAAAATGGAAGACTGAAAACAAGACTCTGCACATAACATGAGGCATAAGGCCAGGAAGGACCCTATGTGAGTGCAGGCCCTGAAGATGAAGTGTCATTAGCTTCACGGTAAACCCATTTCTAGTTACAAAAACAAAATGCCTTTTTGTGATTCCTTCATCACTAAATCATAGGTGGAATGTTCACTACTAATATTTACTATGTATAAAAAGAAAAACTTAAAACTAAATTTTCATTAATAAATGAAAATCTGAACTCTTACTTGATATCAAATTTCAGTAATTTCAGTAATGTCTGCCCCTTTTATACAAAGGGAAACATACGATTATGTAATGGTATAACCATACTGGAAGCAAGGTCAAGGAAGGTCATAATTAGTTGTTAATAACTATATCTGATTCTAACTGACAAGACTGGTATCTTTTTAAATTATTTTTTTAAGAAGTGGTTGTGCTTCAGGTTAGAATTCAAATAAAATTAGCTATAACTACATTAGGTGAAGAATAAAATGTAATTCCTAGTAAGATATCCCAGAAATGGCCAATCTGAATTTAGTTAAAAGTAATACTCAATTTTGAACAGAATTAGATTCATTACCATTGTTGCAATTAAACATTCATTCAAAAGGTTTCCTCATTCCCGAATACAAAATTAAGAGGTCTATTAAACTTATAATCACCATTTTACTTATTAAGAAAATAATGATCTTAAAATAAGGACCTTTGTCAAATAAAAATAGATTCTAAAACAAATAAACTGTACAGATTTTCTTATCGTGGCATTTAACTTCAAGTAGTCTTAGCTAATGTAGCTCTTACTCATTGATCTCCCTCCTTCCCTCTCGAGGGGGTGGGGAGGGGAAGAAGGAAGAGAGGAAGAAGAGAAGTCTTGGCTTCTAACAAAATACTCGGATTATGCTGAGACATAAAACAAAAGTGGGCATTATATTCATAACGAGCCATGCCGTGCTGAACACTATGCTGCATGCTGTTGTCCTTTGGGTGGGTTTGTGAGACCTGGGCACTCACTGGGCAGCTTACAGAATGCCATCCCCTCCCCAGGAACTTAGCTAGAGGAGCTTAAAAACTGGCTGGCCTGTTCAAAAGAATGGCGAGCAGTTTACTCCTTACAGCGGCTCTGAAACAGCAAGGTAAGCCAGGCACAGGCTGTCAGCCATCTCTGAGTCTGACTGAAAGAGAGAAACCAAGCTGAGAGGAAGAACGTCCTCTCTGGGATTCTCACACCTTTGAAAACTAGGACAAGAGTATCTTTTCCCTTCTTTATAACAACGGTACAAGAGAGTGACAGGGGCAGAAAATGATGGCCCCTTCTCTTCAGACCAAAGCCTTTGTTTCCATGACCATATAGCAGCTATAAAAATGATTGGTAAATATAGAAGCAGAGTGGCTGATAATAAAATATCCTTAGAAAATACTGAACTATGGCTGGAAGCCTCTTAAGGAAAAAAGATCATCGTTGTGCCAACCAAGTCTCACCCCCCTTTCCCAAAGAAATGAGTTGAACCAAAAGAAGGGCAGACCATGCAAGACTTTTCCACATTTTTAATGTAGTGAATTTCTGATGTTAAAATGGAGAAGCATAAAGGTGACAACCAAAAAGGCAGCCCTTGTGGTCTAATGTCTTAGAATCCACACCCTTTCACCTTGCGTGTGTGGAAGAAGAAAGAGCAGAAGATAAAATCACTTCCACCTGGACCACTGCTTTTCTTTGTCTGTTAAAGGCACGTAGATCACTCCCATCAGAGGTTTCATTTTGACACTGCCGTCCTGCAGCTTGTCATACTGCTCCAGCATCTGGTTTCCACCCGCAGGACCAACTGGCAATATCAATCTCCCGCCAGGCTTTAACTGGTCTAGTAGCTAAAAGAAGAACACATACACACCAAGTTGCAGATTTTACATTAATAGTCATTTTACATTACTACAGACAATTTTCAGCGTCCACGGGCAGAAAGCAGAAATGTACCCTATTTAGTAGATATATACCATGATTGCTAAACTTATTACTCAGTTACCCACTTACTCAATCACCTATCGACCTCCCCTACTACACTACAAGTTCTCTGACAACAGAGACTGTGTCTTATTCATCTTTGTGCCCCGAGCATCTAACATAGCACCTGGTAGAACTGCAGTGCTCAAAATGTTTGAGCTGAACCACGTAATGCAGAACTATCCTCTTGGGTAGGAAGGCCAAAGGCAGAGCAGAAAATTCTAATGCCTGTATTCCTGTTTTGAATCTCTGTGGGTTGGAAGGAGGAGGGAAGGAGGGAAAGTGCAGAAAATCAGCAAGGAATCCCTATCCTATTATTGTAGTATCTAGGGCATCGCTGAACCAAAGCTAAGAAAATCTTGGTTTTATGACTGAATTTAGGATTACTGGCACCATGACAGGGAAGGTAGGGCTGGAGTCCCTGCAGCATTAGAATGAGGACACCCCTGTCAATGGAGAACCAAGACTGCTCAGTGACAGCCCCTCCAGTCAGAAAGCTTTTAAATCATGTTACCACTGTAGGGTGGCCTTATAGATCCCCACTGATCAAAAACAATAAGGAAGAAACCTTACTTTGGATAGTATTATCCCAATTAAAATTTTGGTTGTCAGCAAGTCTATCTCATTTTTCCCATTTTAATTTTTATCAAAGTAATATTGGCAAGTATTCTTTGAGTTGTTTTTCTAAAAGTCAAGGTTTATAAAAAATAAAAATGAGAAACAGCAGACTTCCCCCTACTCCAATCTGGCTCCCTAAATCCAGTCTTTTACATCTTTTTAGCTGTGTCTTCTAGTATTTTTTTCTGGTAATGCTTATTTCTAAAGCATGTCTTTTATTTTTTTTTAATTGCGATATAATTGACATATACCATTGTATTACTTTTTAGGTGTACAACATAATGATTTGATATACATATATATTGCAAAATGATTACCATAATAAGTTCAATTAACATCCATCACCACACAGCTAGAATTTTTTTTTCTTGTATCGAGAACTTTTAAGATCTACTCTCCTAGCAAGTCTCAAATATACAATACAGTACTGCTAAGTACAGTCACCATGCTGCACAGTATTTACTTTTTTATTTCAAATTATATGCTAGATGAAGACTGAGCTCTTACATATATTCTGCTCCTTTTCCCCAACCCAACCAACATCATACTTTTTCATTAAACCATTTTCACTTATGACAGTGTAAATATAATATGCAGCTGAGCCAACAGGTATTCAATGATTGCTCCCTTTCTTATACAACTGCTGCTTTTCTCGCAGCTAAAAATTGAAGCTTTTTCTTTCTTCATTCACTTAATTTTCTTTGTAACTGTTTCTAAATCTTTGTACCTTCCAACAGCTTCTCAATGGTATTTTCATACACTCACACCTACCTCATTAGTGCTTTTGCTGGGGTGGGTGGGTAGCCTCCCCTCTAGTGCCCTCCCCCTCCGGCTCCCACTCTGGCCTGGCGACTGCCTGGCCTGCTGCACAGCTTCCACCCGGGGACCTCCCTGTGCAAGAACACTGGGAACCGTCATCACCTCTCTCCGAGCAAGATGTTCTCCCTCCCTACACCCCACGGCTTCCTCTGCCTGGTTTCTCCTACTGCCTCTCACCTCCCTCATTTTTTGATGATATTATTAAAGCAATTCCTCCAAAGTATTCTGTAAAACAGTGCATGGAATATTCTAGAAGAGAAAGATTCAGATTTGCAAGTCTAAAACTCTCTGTATTCTACATATTTGGTGATACATGTGGGTACAGATTTCAAGGTTGGAAATCATTTTCAGTTCAGAATTGTCACAGTTTGTTCCTCTGACTTGTTGGTTTTAATGCTACTACTCTGCAATCTGATGCCTTTCTGATTACCAATCCTTAACAGATTATCTGTTTTGTTTTTCTGGAAGCTTTTAAAATCTTCTCTTTATCCCTAATACTCTGAAATTTCATGGTGATATTATGGTTCTTTTTTTCTTTTTTTAGAAAGTCATTGTACCGGGCACTCAAAAGATCTTTTCAAACTATAGAATCATATCCCTCAGTTCTCGGAAATTTTCTCACTTAGGGCTTAGGGCTCACTGTTCCTCATACAGAATGTCAAGCAGCAGCCCCCTTTCAGACCCATGCTTCATGTCTCATTCCCAAGGCGCTGAAGCCTCCAATTTCTAAGCCTTTTCCGAGTTCTGCAGAGCAAACTGCTTTTGCACTGATACCCCGTCTACCGTCTCTTTGGTCCCTGAGTCAGTTATCACTCCATCTCCTATCTATCTCACACACTGCAGAGTTCAGGATTGCAGGTGTCATCTCCTAGACGACTGAATATGGAGTTTGTGTTTCTATTTCTTGTTTTTCTAGTTGTTTTGGGGTGATATCCAAGAGGAGGCATAAACATCTGTACTCTGTTATCTTAAAACTAGAAAGGCCCTTCAGCATGTCTATCTTTACATTTAATCAGATGTAGAAAGACCCCTATAATAATTCCAAGTGCTACTACAACGTGTAAATTCATATTGAGCTAAAGCCAAAAATGCCCTTCAAGATCATCTCAGGGTCTTAATGGGGAATATGAGCCCTGCACATAAGCTCCTTCATTTAAACACAGTTCTATTTCAGATTTTAATTGCTCCTACTAGGCTGCCAATATTACAAAAAAAAAAAGTTAAAAAAAACTACTGATCGTGTGTTCATATGTGAAAATTCATTGAGCTATTCATTTATGACTCATATACCTTTCTACATCATGTTAATATTTGAACTTAAACGTGTCAAAACCACTGGCTTAGCCTTTTTTTTTAACAGACAACAGGGCCAGAGAGGATAAGTGACTTTCCCAAAGTCATTCAGCCAATAAGCAGCAAATCAATGACCAGAACAAATTCCCCAACTTTCAGCTTCTCATAACTGATGTAAACATACAAACAACAACGCTTTCCAAGTTGGGGAGTGGATGAGACTGGGCATGAGAGACAGTGTCACTTTCAGCCCCTAGTTATCTAGTCAAGAACTATGTAAAACTCATATATAACAGAAACCTAAGATTTCAGTGAACTTAATCAAGGATTATTAAGAGCTGACACAAGCTTATCAGAGTTTTACTAAAATGAAAAACCCATTTTGTACTTTAATACCTCCCTGACTATGTAACAGACAGTACTGGAATACCTTCCTTCTCACTGCGACTATGCAAACCCCACTATTCTTCAAGATTCAGTTCAGGTTCCATTCGCGTATGACGTCTCCTTGACGACTCTACGCCAGATTCCCTCCCTGCCCTGAACTCCTACGTACATATTTTCTTTTCCATTCAATATATATCATTCGCTAATGATAGGCTATCATCTCAATAATTTCCCTGTTACATGTATGACACATCTATTCTAGAATGTAAGCTTTGTGAGGGCAAAATGTATGACAAACACTTCCTGGTCTCTCCCATGCACCTAACATAGTCTTGCGTGTTCTGGTCTTGAATAAAACACCAAGTGATTATCAGGTCATGAACTCCAGAGGGATTTTCCCAATTCTACTGGTGTACTAGTTCTTAGCTGGATCAAATACTGCTTCAAATAAGACAGCCATGAGCTGGGGTTTATTAATCTTCATGTCTCTTATACAACTGTTAGCATATGAAAAAAAAATTACCTACTAACTGTAACTAAAATGCACGACACAAAAGTCTAATTATACTTTGGACATCATCTAGATGTCATCTCTCCATAAATCTTTTCAAGTTTTAGTTGAATAAAGCACACAAACACAGAAAAAACTCAACTCACTGCCTGGGGCACAACAGGGGCTGCGGCTCCTACATGAATAGCATCATAAGGGGCTTCTTCGGCATATCCCATTCTTCCATCCCCCACTGAAAGAAAAAGATCATGCTTTAAAAACCTGTTCAGACAGAACTACCTAGCGTGAAGAATTATAAGAAGTTTAAAGCAGGGAAAAGATAGGTTTTTTAATAAATAATGCAACAATAGCTGAATACTCATATGGAAAACATATATACTTGGATCCCCACCTCATATATTTACCCAAAAATCAATGCCAGGAGGATCAAAGACCCAAAGTTTCTGAGAAATACTCTATATCTTCATGACTTCAGAGTAGCCTTCAACAGGACACACAAAAGCAGTGGAAAAAAATTGGTAAGTTTGATTATATTAAAATTAGGAATTTATATTTATCAAAAAAGTACCAACATGGGGCCGTCCCATTGGCGTCACGGTTAAGCGGGCACGCTCTGCTTCGGTGGCCCGGGGTTCGCGGGTTCGGATCCCAGGTGCGCACCGATGCACCACTTGTCAAACCATGCTGTGGCGGCGTCCCATATAAAATAGAGGAAGGTGGGCAGGGATGTTAGCCCAGGGCCAATCTTCCTCACAAAAAAAAAAGTACCAATATGAGAGTGAAAAGGCATGCCACGGAGCAGAAGAGATTTACAATATGTATAAAAAGACAAAGGGCTAGTCTCTAGAAGTCCTACAAACCAAAGAAAAATATAAACAACTCAATATCTGAACAGCCATTTCACAAAAGAGGAAATCCAAATGGCCAAACATGTGAAATGGTGTTCAATCTCACTGACTGATAAGAAAATACAAAATTAAACTCACAAAGAGATACTGCTATACAATCACGAGGTGGGCAAAAGGAAAATCTCACAATAGCAAGCACTGGTAGAGATGTGGAGCAACAGGAACCCTGACACACTGCTGATGGGGATGTAAACTGGTGCCAGCACTTTAGAAACAGCTTTGCAGCATTGCCAGTCACCCTCTGTACCTGTAACAGCACTCCTCCAGAAACGAGAGCCTGTATGAGGAGTGTACATACGCATCTGGACTCATGTACACACATGTTCACAGCAATGCGAACATCCCCAGATTAGAAACAACCTAAAATATCCACCCACGGTACAATTAATAAATTTTGCAATGTTCTTACAAGGAAATGCTATACAGCAACAAAAGGAACTATATGCAGGGGCCGGCCTGGTGGCATAGTGGTTGGGTTCCTGTGCTCTGCTTTGGCGGCCCGGGGTTGGCAGGTTCGGATCCCAGGCGTGGACCTACACACCACTTATCAAGCCACACTGCAGCCGCGTCCCACATACAAAGAGGAAGATGGGCATAGATGTTAGCTCAGAGCCAAGCTTCCTCAGCAAAAAAAAAGCAACAATTAGCTCTGAGTATTATTTAGCTTGCATGAGATCTTCTGAAAATAAAAATTCTCCAGAGAGGAAATTTTTAAAGTTTTCTGACACTTACCAACCAGCTGCACTCTCCCTGAAGACAGAAGCGTTGGATCGTCCTTTCTGACATTATTTATTGAGTCGTCTACCAACTCTTTAATGTGGTCGATTCCTATGACTTTTCCAGTAGGTCCGACCTGGAAAGGAGAGAATAACTCAATAGCTCACTGGTCTAAATTTTTTTCCCAAAGTTTCATTAAAGTGTTTCCTTATCTAAAGTTACATTCTGCAATGACATCAAGACAAACAAACAGCTTAAGCCTCCAATCAGAGTGTTAAACACTCAGTTTGTTATAAATTATTTACCAAATACAACTTTCTCAACTATAACTCTCAAATGAATAATTATATTTCAGTAATTAAGGAACTAGAATAAATGACAAAAACTTGTAATACTAAGAAAAACGATATCTTTCTTCAACTTCTAATTTTTAAATCTAGAACTGAGAAGTAGGACTTAACTACCAAGATTAAATGGTAGTTAGTGCAATCATTTTTTTATTTAAATTCCATCTAAAAGTGTGACTTTAAATATTAAAATATTACATAAAAAAATTTTATAGGGATTTCTACACTTGCTTCTACTGCCATATGTGGAAAATATAAAAAGGCCCCCAGTAGAAATACTAATTGCAAAATAAATTTAAACAATAAAGACTCTGAAGTCAGACTACCTGGGTTCACAGCTAAGTTTCATCACTTACTTACAACTACATAACCTTGGCAAGTTATTCTACAAATCATGTTCCTCAGCTGTAAAATGAGGAGGAAAAGAGTACATACCTCATATATGATGTGAGTTTGAAATAACAGAATACAAGAAGAACACTTAGAACACTGACTAGCACATGGTAAATGTGTGAAAATATAAACTTAATCATTTTTAAAAAGATAACTGAGAAATCTAATGATTTTTTAAAAAACGAGTAGTCCTCTGAAACCATAAATACGTCAATTATAGCGAACAAGTCACTAATTAAATGCTATTTCTAAGCTTTAAAAAAAAAAAATCCCTGACATTCCATTAGTGAGGGCTTAACTTCTACAAAACAAGCAGGAAAACTGAAAAGAAATATCTGAGTCCTTATTACGTGCCCGGCACTGTTCTGACTGCTGACGATGCATCAGTGAGAAAATCAGACAGAACTCCCACCTCTCCAGGGCTGACGTTCCAGTGGGGCTGCTGATTATACACTTACAGCAAGTTAAATGGATTCTAGTCCAAGACGGGTCTATAAACCCCAACTTAACCAGACCAGGACCTTCCAACCGGGCCTCCAGGGACAAGATTTCCCATAATCAACCTGACATGATGATCTGAGCACAGACGAACCTTTACTCCAGGGGCAGGAGTGGGCCTCCAGACTTAGACTCTGGATAGTCACTTACCAGATAAGCCTCCAGTGATAAAAGCTGAAGTATAATAAACAAGGCATTTTTCTAAGAGCATTTTTCTTAACGGAATAGAAGCTCTGCCCTCATTCCTAATAAATCTGTAGGAGTGTTTGGAAATCAGGCTCTATTATTTCCTGCCAAACTAGAACTTGGGAGAAAGTAGTTTGGAAGCTACTGGTTGCCATCTTGCCATCACAAGAAAAGGGACTATCTGATAATGAAGCCAACATGTGGAGGAAAGCAAAGCCAACCTCGGACCAGAGAGAAACCCACTGTCAATAACAACATCTTATGTTCCTCTGAATCCAGCCACACAAGAAGCCAGATATACTTTTAGACTTTTCCATTATATAAACTAAATAAATTCCCTTTTAGCTCTGCCAGTTTGGATTGAATGTTCTGTCACTTGCATCCAAAAAAAAAAAAAATCCCAAGTGATACATATTTCAGCTGCTATCTTGATATAGAATTAAAAAGAAAGAAAGAAAATCTTGAAAAATTGCTATACAGCCAAATCATGTAATATGCTCCTGTTGGGGCCAAAATTAAAAATAAAGCTCTTACCATACGTGCAAAACACGCAGTAAGGATTCCACTTCCAGATCCTACATCAAGAGCTTTAGCTCCTTCATGCAACTGATCAAACAGAAGTTCTAGTGCATACGCATGCTGCCAAAAGAAAACATGGCAAATATTCATTTTTTTCAAGACACTATAAAGTATATATACCATGGCATGTAAATAAAGTTGCCAACTTTATACCAATTTTTCTACTATTGTCATCTCCCAAGATAATGAAAACATATTATGTGCTTATATCCACACAGGAATTACAGAAAATAATTCTCATTGTTTGATTACAATTCTTACATTTAGATAAAGTGTTTCAGTAATTTTAGATCTCCAGTGTGAGTTTTGAAAATTTAATTCAAAGTCAAAAGCTACAAAAGGTTTTACAGTGAAAAGTCTCCACCCCACCCTGTCCCCAACCAGTTTCACTCCCCAAAGGCAACCAGTGTTACCAGTTTCTTGTGATTGCTTCCAAACATATTCACTCTAGGCACATACAAGTGAATAGATATGCATTTTTTCATTTATTATATCTGGAAGGACCTTTATTTTTTTTTTTAATGGATTTTTTGTGTGTGTGAGGAAGATTAGCCCTGAGCTAACATCCGATGCCAATCCTCCTTTTTTTTTTTTTTTTTTTTTGCTGAGGAAGACTGGCCCTGGGCTAACATCTGTGCCCATCTTCCTCTACTTTATATGGGATGCCGCCACAGCACGGCTTGACAAGTGGTGCATCTGTGCGTGCCCAGGATCCGAGCCTGTGGACCCCGGGCCACCGCAGCAGAGGGCACACACTTAACCGGTGCACCACCAGGCCGGCCCCAGGACCTTTTGTATCAATACTTAAACAGCTTGTTCATTCTTTTTTATGGCTAAGGAGTATATTCTTGTATTGATGTATTATAATAACAAATACTGTCCCTAATGAGAGGTATTTAAGTTGGCTCTAATATTCTATGACAAAAGAGACGAAATACTCTTAAAAGATATACCTGTAGGACAATATAATAATCTTTATAATAATCTTGTAAAGTATATCTATAGGATAAATTCCTAGAAGTGGAATTGAGGAGGCCAAAGGATATATATCTCTATGTTTACAGTATATATAAATTATACATCCAATAAAATCATACTGGTTATGCTTCAGACCAAACCAAGAAATAAAGCCTTCTCTACCCCATCCTCTTTATAACTTATATTTCAATGCTTTTTCAAAATACTAAGTTAGAACTACTAAATGTTATCTCAAAAGCTGTTGTTAAACGCCTGGTATGTTCATTATTGAAAATCAGCAGACCTGGTAGCAATAAACATATTCACTACCAGATCTTGGTTGATAAAAATATACATCCATGAATCCATAGTGATAATAAGTAAATACATACGTCTATATATACATAAATGGAGAATCAGGGAAAAATTTCCAACTGTTTCAAATATAGATGAAATGATGAACTTAGAAAATCGTCATCTGGCAATCATTTCAGTAGTAACTGATTCAGGCAAAAAACATAAAGGGATGCTAAAACTAGTGGATTATCATTTGACAAGTAACAGGATATTTATATAACCTCCAAAGTGGCTGCCCAAGATACTCACTAATTACAAAAGGGAAAAACAATAACTTCACAGTGGAGTTCATAAAAAAGTTTCTCAGCAGAGAAACCTGACACTACCTTAATCAGATGATCAAAGTTAACATCACCAATAACGGGACACAACGACATCTGTCAAAACACATCACTTCTGGGATATTCCAGGCAAAAATGTATAATTCATATCTAACTATGAAGAAACATCAAACTTAAATTGAGGGACATTCTATAAAATAACTGGCCTACATTCATAAAAATTTTCAAGACCATAAAAGAAAAGACTGAGGAACTGTTCTAGATTAAAGAAGACCAAAAAGACATGACAACTGAATGAAACTCCTGATGCACAATTTTCTCTTCCTATAAAGGACATTACTAGAGCAGCTGACGAAATCTAAATAAGGTCTGTAAATTGGCTAACGGTGTTGTATTAATATTAATCTCCTGATTCTGCTAACTCTACTGTGATGATTTAAGAGAATGTCCTATTTTTAAAGGTAAAGAGCATTGTGTCTGCAAATTACTCCCAAAGAGTTTATAAAAAAGGAAATACACGTATTTCATATACGTGTGTGTGTGTGTGTGTGTGGAGAGAGAGAATAAATGATAAAGCAAATGTAGTAAAATGATAACATTTGGGGGATATGGGTCAAAGATACATGGGAATTATTTGCACTATTCTTACAACATTTCTTTAAGTCTGAAATTATGTCAAAATAAAAAAAAATTTTTAACCATCATAATGATCGTAATGATCAAAATGGAGGATAGAATGGAAACTCCTTACTCTGGAAAACTAATTTAGGTGAGAAAAGCCAGAATACTGGTTACCTTGAGGATGCAGCTTGACTAGGAAAGGGCATGAGGGAGTCTTCTGGGGTGCAGGAAATGTTCTGTGTCTTGATCTGAGTAGCAGGTACACATATGTACACATGTAAACATTCATCAAGCAGCACTCGTAGGATTTGTGCACTCTACTGTGTATATACTATAACTTAATTTAAAAAAATGTGAAAAGATTGTTTACTCCAATCACTGAAAGTGGGTGCTCAGGTAGTCTGTCTGCCAATGTGAGGCACCTGGAAGGACTATTAGGAAGTCTTCTCAGAAAAAAGGAGCAAGTTCACCACCACCAGGGAACAGTTCACCAAGTTCAGAATATGAGAAGTTCTACAGCACAAATGAGGCAAGGTTTATCGATAAATAAATGACATTTAAAAAGGCGAGGGGGGGGACTATTAAAAGAGACCAAAAAGACTAAAAAGATGCAATGTATAGACTTTCCTTGGACCCTGATTTAAGCAAATCAACTGTAAAAAAAATTTTTTGAAACAGCTGGCAAAGTCAGAACATGGACTAGGTACAAAATAATATTAAGGAACATTGTTAGGTATGAATATGGTATTCTGGTTGTATTTTTAAAGTCTTTCAGATTTATACTAAAGTATTTAGGGGTGAAATAATATTATATTTGGGATTTGCTTTAAAATACTTCGGCAAAAGGGAGAGAGAGAGTTGGATAAAAGAAGATTAGCAAATTGTTGGTAATTATTAAAGCTGGTGATGGTTACATGAGGGTTCATTATACTATTCTATTTGTGTGTGTGGTGTCAGAAATCTTCCATTTAAAAAAAAAAAAAAGAAAGAAGTTAAGGCTATCTTTTCACACAACTAACATAAGAAGGGGAGAAGGCCTGTAATAGATGCAGCCTCACATAATCCAAGGGTTCTCAAACTCTGTTCCAGTAAGGTTCCACAAGAACACCTTCAGGGTAACACACAAATGTAGATTGGTGGATGCGTGTTTTTGGAAAAGACTAATAAACAAATTTATCAATTTTTAATGTAGATTCTTTTGCAAAGAGGTTCTTGCCTAAGGAGTAAAAACCACTAGTACTATGAAAAAGAGTCCTAGATTAAACATGGAAAATACTGGATTCCACTGGTTCTGTATTTATTAGCCCCATGGCATTGGAAATTATTTTTAGCTCACTGTTCCTCAGTTTCCAAGTCATTAAAATGGAGAGAAAAAAGTTGTTCCCATCCTGCTTTCTCCAAAGAAGTACCATTGTGAATAAAAGTGATGATGTATTAAAGTGCTTTATAAATTCTAAAGAATTTACAAATAAAAGGTACAATATTTACATCAATGAAAATTAAACCACTACAGCATAATGACCTGTTGTTGCTACTCTTTAAAGTACTTCAAAGTAATTTATAAAAGTAAAATTAACAATTAATTGGTCTTTTACTTCCATTTAGTATGTTTTTGGTTTTGGTATGTAGTGGTTTTCCTCTTTTGCTTGGTTAGAGAACAAAATAACTTGATGAATCAAAGAAATCTGGTGAATGCCCTCTTTTCCCTTCCTCCTGTTATCCTGTCCCAGCTCTTCCCTTTCTGAACAAGTCGATCCTAAGGCCACTAAGTTGGGCTGCGCCAGGCAGCTGCCCACACCCAGGTGGCAGAGAGGGCAGCTGCCATGTCCAGTTAGAAGGGTGAGACCCCTAAGCAGAATGAGGACGGTATCTGCGTTCACACAGGGGAGTAAACCTGAACAGGAGTCAGAACCCAGGCTAGGGGAGGAGGGTTTCTGCATAGCACGGTGGATCAGTGTCGGGTGTCAGAGCATGAATGGTGGAGATGGGGGAGTATGGCGGGGGGGTGGGGGGGGGGAGTGACAGTAGAGGGAAATTGGCTACGTAGGGGAATTGATCAAATAAATAAATATATTAAGGAAAAAGGAACCAAGTTTCTCATTGTCAAAAAAGGAAGTTAAACATGGAAAGGGAAAAGACAGGAAACTATGAATACAAACGGATATAAATAACTCAATAAGGAACAGATATTTACATGATCTCAAAGTACTCCCTCACAAAATTAATTACAAAAGCCAAAAAGAGTAACTCTGCAGTGGAGAAGGCTGGAAGACACCACCTTAATGAACTGAATATCATCAGAATAGGACAAATCAAAATTGTACACTGTCCAATAGGAGGTAATGAGAACTCAGCAGCACTTGGGCAATATTTCCACCAAAGAGGTGAATCTAATGAATCTAACCATGAGGAAACATCAGACACCCCAAACAGAAGGACATCAACCAAATAACTGGCCCGCATTCTTCAAAAGAGTCAAGGCCACGAAAGTCAAAGAAAGGGTCAGGGGCCGGCCCTGTGGCTTGGTGGTTAAGTGCGCGCGCTGCGATGCTGGTGGCCCGGGTTCGGATCCCGGGTGCGCATCGAGGCACCACTTCTCCGTTCATCCTGAGGCCGAGTCCCACATACAGCAACTAGAAGGATGTGCAGCTACGACACACAACTATCCACTGGGGCTTTGGGGGGAAAAATAAAATAAATAAAATCTTTAAAAAAAAAAAAAAAGAAAGGGTCAGGAGCTGTTCTAGACTGAAGAAGACTGAAAGAGGAGTGATTCTGCACTGGACCCTTCTGCTATTGAGGACGTCACAGGAACAACTTGAGAGGAGTCTGAAGATTAGATGG